TTCTTTTGCTTTTTCAGACATAAATTGGCCTCACTTCATCACTTAGGACTTGTATCGAGTGTCTTCATGAACACTCCTTCTGATTGTTTATTTCAGACACATGCAGCTTTTTGGCAATTGACCTCATTGATTGACCTCGGTTTTCATCAGTTGTCTGCTTGACTTCCTGAATAAATTCAGGTGTTCTCACTTTATCAGAAAGTGCAGAATGTCTTTTACATTTTGATACAGACATTGGGGAACTGCCAGCATCTTCTAACTGTTTTCATATCTTGTGGACAAACGATCTTGCAACTTTGAGGAAACGTGCAATATCCAAATCGCTATGATCAGCCTTTAATGACGTAATCACAGCATGCCTTTTCATTTCATTTGTTATCATAAGGTTTGCCATTCTTGATTTCTGAAAAATAAAATCATTAGAAGTTAGTGGGAAGCAATATTAATCATAAATCTGTATGTCCTCAAATATCAACCGCACCCTATATACATATATATATATATATATATATATATATATATATATATATATATATATATATATATGTGTGTGTGTGGGTATGTATGCCGACCAAAGTGCATGCTTCACCAGTCGTCCGTACCGACAAGATGCAAATCAATACAATACATTAAATTTGTGGCTTGAATAGCTCGCATATATATATATATATATATATATATATATATATATATATATATATATATTTAAATAAGTTTTTTGTAGTACAAAATTAAAGGATACCTAGGAATAAACATAATTTATATGACATTTTAATGTATATTTTAAAAAGCTGAAAAAACAACTGGTTTCGTCCCAGCATTATCAAGTTTATTTCTGGGATATAAAAAATAAAACGCGTAAATTTAATTGATATTAATGATAACCAATGGAGGTAAAAATATGAATTTCAAGAAACCTAGAGTCCAATAACATTGAGACCCAGTAAGCATTCCCTCTGTAAACAGAGAGAAGGCCCACGGGATCTGATATACAAAGACTCTAGAACCTTGATGTGATATGAGGAGTGGGACCTCAATAAAATAGAAAAACGGCCCATCCTAAAATCAAAGTCACAACTGCTACTATTTATAACATGCTCTGCAATAGAAGAGCCAGATGTATTACTTAGTTGACTTTTCCTGGCATCCGGATTCAAAATCCTGGGGTGGGGGTAAGTGTTGTTTTATTCTCAGATCCATATATATATATATATATATCGGGTGTAACAGCAAAATTGTCCAAATCGTGTAAAAACAAAATTGTCCAAATCGTGTAAAAACAAAATTGTCCATTTGTTAGATTAAGCGTTGTATCTTAGAAATGATTAAAGATATCTTACTGGAATGCTCCGAGATTTTTTATGACACTGTTAGACACTACTGAGAGCAATACAAATGTATAATTACTTTCCAGGCTTAACAGATTAGGAGAATCGGGATGAAATCGATCATAAGCTAAAATGACATGTTCATCATTAATTAATCATAGCGAAGGATTCGAAGCTCGGGAATGATTGAAATAAAGTTCATATATATATATATATATATATATATATATATATATATATATATATATATTATTACAGGTTCATTTTCCAATTTATCTGAAATGATCCTCGCCCTCTCTAACCTTCTAACATTCTGTCCCATAGTAATAAGTTGTCTTACTAGTTTCACGTACGATTTTATTTTCAAGTCTTTTTCGCTGTTTTTTTTTTTTTGAATGTCATAGCTGAAACTCCTCTCTCCAATGCTAAACGTCTTATGGATTAGGTTGGATCTTTTCCAATTGATCACTTTAGCTCTAAATTTAAATGATGCTCCCTCTTCCTGTTGTAACCTCTTGATCCACTGTACCGTCCCCTCTTTTTTAAAACTTATTCACTGTTCTCTTGATGGTTCTTAAATGGACTTTGAAGATGGATGCCAGAGTACGAATGTTGGTAATATTGCTGAGGAGCTAAATAATCTTTTTCCCCTCACCATTGCTCAGTGGGGAAGTCAGTGGTGCTGACAGAAAACGATTTTAACCTGTTTTCTTTCTAGCTGAATAGCTCAAAATGTTTTTCAGTGATTCTTATGACAAACGGTGTCAAGATATCTAAACATCTTATCCAAAAACCTTGAAAAAGAAACTTAATGAATTTAATGTCTTTTATATATTAAACATTTTGTGGGATGGCCAGTTATACTGTTAAAACCGATATATATATATATATATATATATATATATATATATATATATATATTAAATAAATGATAGAAATTAAGGAGGATTTGAGATAATTAAGTAATTCATCGAGTCTAGAAGAAACCTCAACAGAATGCAGAAAGCACTGCATATATTTGGGACTCATCAGCAGTGCGTATCCTCTACCGAGAATTGAAAACCGGACAGTTACATATATATATATATATATATATATATATATATATATATATATATGTGTGTGTGTGTGTGTGTGTGTGTGTGTGTATTAAAATAGAAGAAAAAGAACTGTTATATTTCAAGTAAGCATTTATAATTAATTTCCTTAAAACTCGACCAAACACACAAGCCTAAGAAGAAACAAAGAAGACAAGACCAAGTTTTTAAAGAAATTGAAAATTAAAAAAATAACCTTGGTGTCATAAATATTCACGACACGTAACCCATTCATATTAAAAAGTTTCAACACATTCATATATGCGCTCTCATATGCAAATTTCATTCAATTGTTCTATGCTTAATAAAAATAGATCAAATAAACGAACCTGAAAAACTGTATTTTTCGATAGATAAAACAGTACACTGTTTCCCAGCTATCTTAAGGAAATAAGCATATCTTGGGAAAATATAAGTAATTAACTAATATATTTTACGATATAATCGCTTATTGACGAGAATTCTAACCAACAGTTTGGATGTCTGAGTAGCTTAATGTGTGGAATTGAGAATGGATGTTCACATTCAGTCGTCCTCGTCTGTCACGTTCGCTTTTGCAATAATGCACTTTGTGAATTTGTCACCACTTCCAATCCAACTCTTCGTCACTCTCTGGCTAGTGGTTAAATAGCAGCGTAGATTAGGATTCCTTTATTTTGAGTTGCGTCAAACCGAAGAGAATGACATATACTGAATTTCAAACCGTGGAGAAAGCAACGGGAAATCCCATCATTATCTTTCCGTACAAATCATGAGAATTCATAGATGTCATTGGCTAACAAAAGCGGGCATTATATTTCACATTGAAGTTATTAGTATCAACTTATCAATTTTATCAGTTTAAATGTATTACTCTTCCTAAAGAAACTGCAAGACAACCTAGACAAGATAATAAAGTAAATCGAGAAACGGGATTAGCCCTCAACTGTAAGAAGACAGAAATTATGGTTGCCCCCAAGGGAAAAGGCGCAATATGCAAACTACTATTATAGTAGTCAGAGACGACTTTTCACTGTCACTAGAACATATATATATATATATATATATATATATATATATATATATATATATATATATATATATATATATAGTTGACTCTCCCGTCGAATTCGACGTATGGGGGTCAAGCAGATCAGTTCCCAGGAAACCGACAGCCCGACAACAGCACATGAGATTTGATTATAGTGGTGAAGGTTTCGTGCAGGACCATCCACACTTTTTGAAGGGCCGAATACAGAGACCTCGTGCACTAAGTGCCACAAGGTCCCCAAACGACCCTCCGCAGGTTTTGAATTCAGAGTTGTCTTTCTCCTAGACCAGTTGCCATCCAAGGCTATAGAACCCAGTCTATCCTGCTATTTACCCATAGCTGGAAGGAGAAGAAGGGGACTCACACCTTTCCCAAGAGTATTAGCACTTAAGTGAAAGTAATGGATTCGACTGGAATTCGAACTCGGCTCTGCGATTCCTTAATCCGTACCTCCTCTCTCTCTCTCTCTCTCTCTCTCTCTATATATATATATATATATATATATATATATATATCATTCAATAAGTGTTGTCTATTTATTTTATGTAAATTCTTTTTTTAACGTGTGATAAGCTTGATAACGTTATTAAACGAAGAAAGATCACAATATTGATCCATATTTTTTAATTCAATCTAAGCTTTCGGCTTACATAAGCCATTATCAAAGATGTCAATTACTGTACAACATATTAAGCAATATACGGACAAGACAGTGATGATAGTCTGTGATTGTTTACATGCATGATTTCCTAGCAACGATAAACACGTGCATATAAAACGCTAGAAGCGAAAATCGCATCGCAGCATTGGTATAAACCAATGGCTTCTGTTACCAATTATAGACATTTAAGGGTATTTGTAGAGATTGCATAGTTGATTTTGTTTAGGTTGGGTTTCAACTGTTTGATGTATATTGCTTCAAGGATTTTAGTTTTTGTCTATTGTTTTTCATGTTGAAGTATAATTGTGTTTTCGACAAGGATTTTACGGAATTGTGTGTGTGCAGCCAGGCATGTTGTTTTTAAATGCCTAAAATGTTAGAGTTTTCATTCAAATGTAGTGTCAAGCGTTGTGAAAGCGAGTTTGCGGTGTGACCAACATAAATATTATTTAATTTGTTGGAGATACAATCTCCCAAAGGGCACTTGAATTTATAAACTATGTTGGTTTTTTTGCAAATCGCTAACCGGGGGAGAAGAATGATTGCGAAGAATTATATATATATATATATATATATATATATATATATATATATATATATATATATATATATAATGGATTAATGGAGGTGTAATGAAGCCTGTCAATATAAAAGCATTCTAAATTCAGATATTCAGAAATCTGAGTATGAAATCGTAGCAGTATAAAATATTTCCTAGCTTTTGATTTCTTTCTTTTATTATTATTCTAGAATGCTTGTAATGTCGCTGTGGCTTCACGCGAAGTGCACGATTGGCTGAATTACACGTATAAATTGTTCTGAAAAAAACCTTACTATTTGTGCATATCTGCAGTTAGATGCAATATACTCGCGTTTATCTCCAGGACAGCAGATAAAAGCGAATACAACCTGTCCCAGCGGTGGTTTGAACTCGGTTCATTGGTTACTCCTCTTTTTAGCATTCCTTTTCATGCTGGTTAATCGAATTTCCTTGCATAAAATCAAATTATACAGCACTCCGGACACATACTGTCACAGATATATTATTAAACGAATGGCGGGGTTACATAAGAACTGCTTTGTGAATTCAGATTATATATTTTTCTTCTTTAGTTTTTGTTTCTCTCTCTCTCTCTCTCTGTCTGTCTGTCTATCTATCTATCTATCTATCTATCTATCTATTTATCTATCTATATTTCACTAA